ACGCCCAGTTTTGGTGCCTGCATGGTATGCTAGCACAGCATGTGGTGTGTGTGGGGGGATTGAACCTTTGTCCTTGTGCTTGCCGCACAGTTACTTAGACCATTGAGCTAGCTCCCCAACTGTCACTCATCTTTCATTTTTAAAAAAGAAATCATGGGCTGGGGAGATAGCTCAGTAGAATAAGCACTTGCCTGGCAAGCGCAAGGCCCTGAATTCAATCACTGGTACTGAAGAAAAAAAAATCATGAGAAAGTTGAAATGGGCTATAAACCAAATCCTTTCCCAAGAGTAGTCACTGCCAGCTTGATGTCAGACTTTACTCCTGCCCCAAATAGTTGGCAGCATCGGGCAGCTGCTGCTGAACACCTTTAGATCTTTGAGTTGTGAGTTTCTTTTGACTGATTTTGTAAATTTTCCAGCCTCATCTCCACTGTAGCACAGACTGAAGCCCCTTTATTTTTCCTAGGTCATCTTGGCCCGGCAGTATGGCTCTGAGGGCAGGTTCACTTTCACTTCTCATACCCCTGGTGAGCACCAGATCTGTCTTCACTCCAATTCCACCAAGTTCTCCCTCTTTGCTGGAGGCATGCTGGTAAGTGGACCCATGTGAGACTTGAAGCTTTTTCATCCTCAATAGCCTGGTTAGGACTTTTAGTACTATATATACATGTGAGATAAGTATGTTGGATTTTGTGTCTCCCAAGTACATTAGGTTTTCAGTGAACATCCTTCAAACAGTGGATGAGCTTTTTATATAGTCATCTCTTAGTTCCCTCCATCAGTAAGTGCTTAAATCCTTATATGCAATGGTATATCATTTTCATCTACCTTATACATAGTTGTATCCTGCTATTTACTTTTAAGTCATTTCTAGATTACTTATAATCTCTAATGAAATGTAAATACTGTATAACTTTTAAGTATTTATTGTTTTGGGGAGAATTACCAAAAGCATCTGTATATGCTCAGTATAGATGGTATTTTGGCTTTTTCTTTTAAAAATATTTTTGGTCTGAAGTTGGCTGAATCTGTAGATGCCCACAAATATAGAGATCAAGCTGTGTGTGTTTTGGGTTAGAGTGTCAACCCAGGTTTATTGATTTGGCTTGTGAACACAAAGTCTCACAGTTCTAGACACTAGAGACCTCAGTCTATTGGCTACATGAATAAATGAAAGAAAGTAGTGGGGCCAGCTGTCAGTCTCTGGCAGGAAGATGGAGCAGAGCTTCTCAATTCGCCATATCCTCCTTGTCTGTCCCCAGAGAGTTCACCTTGACATCCAGGTTGGTGAACATGCTAACGACTATGCAGAGATTGCTGCCAAAGACAAGCTGAGTGAGTTGCAGCTACGAGTGCGACAGCTAGTGGAACAAGTGGACCAGATCCAGAAAGAGCAGAACTATCAGAGGGTAAGTGCTTGGGCCAGGAGTGGTGGGCTTTACTGTAAGTGGCCCCCTGGCTCAGCCAGGTGTCTTATGGCAGATTCATCATGAGACACCCAAGGGACTTACTATTGCACACCATAGATGTAAAGATGGGGATGGGAATAATTAAGTCCATGGTATAACTGAGGACATAGACTCATTCAATCACAGTTACACAGAGAATGATAACATACAAATTGATACGAACACCTTGTGTGTGATTTGAATGGCTCCAGATGCTCCTAGGACCCAAAGTCTCAAACTCATTTGTGGTCAGGAACAAGACAAAAGTATCATGAATGAACCTGTGACTATATGGAATAGTGAGGGGAGTAATCCATCTAAGCAGAGACAGTTCAGTATTAGCAGGGGCCTCCTTGCAGAAATGCCAGCCCTGGGTTTTCAGATACTCCTTTTTTTAAGAGGAGTTAGAAGTCTAGATTTTTATGTGACATTTTCCTGAGTTTTAAATGCTTGCAAAACACTGTGTGTGGTCAAACAAAACACATGTAAAGGCTAAGACCAGTCTCCAGGCCACCAGTTTGCAACATGTGCCCATGATTTTCAAAGAGTAGTTTGAGAGTCCTGGACATTGGGCTTGGAGCCAGTCTTTTTTTTTTTTTTTTTTTTTTATTTTTTTCTTTTTTTAATTTTTCAACAAATAATACACTGCATATATTCTTCTTAGTGGTTAATTGCTGTACAAGATGCGGACTTGTGATCCTATTTACAAACACCATTAGAACAAATCATTCTATTCATTAACAGAATGTAACTATATATCTATCCCAACCACTTTGAATACACAGATACAAAATGGACATTCATCTGTATACCCCATTTTTTCTAAGTTCCGTTATTGAATATTATAGGTGTGTAAACTCAGCAAAATATTCTAAAAGAGTCCAGTAGCCCATAATAGCATTGGGTCTTCTGTTTAACTGGCAATGTCAGAAATTATTGACCTGAGGGAGCCAGTCTTAATACCGAGCACTCAATAGCTCTGTCCCATGGTGTGATACCACCTTACCTCTCCTTCAGGAACAGAGCAGGTATACCTGCCTACCTCTTAGGGGAGGAAACTGACTTAGAAGAAATGATAAAGTTGCTTGAAGTTATGTGGCAGTTGAGGGTGCATATAGTTCCCAGGTAGTGATTCTTTGCAAGGAGTTGGTAGGAACATTGGGAGAGTTCCCTTGGCCATCCTCATAGGCTGGGAACCCTGCAGTTCTAGCAGGCCTAGACAGATCAGTCTGACCCTGACCTTTTTTTCTTCCCCACAGTGGCGAGAGGAACGTTTCCGGCAGACCAGTGAGAGTACTAACCAGCGGGTGTTATGGTGGTCCATTCTGCAGACCCTCATCCTCGTGGCCATTGGCGTGTGGCAGATGCGACATCTGAAGAGCTTCTTTGAAGCCAAGAAGCTGGTGTAGCCTTCCCAGGCTACATGTGCCATCTTGCTTCCCAGCCTGAGGGACAAGGAACCTCCTGGAACTGACTGTTCTCTGGCAGGAGAACTGATTCTCAGTCCATCAGTAGATGTTTGGAGGGGAGAGGGACTGTAAACATCCCCAGGCACAAGCTGAGAGCAGCATCTTGGCTGGCTAGTCCTGAACACATGATGGGACAAAGTGCCTGTCCCCTCCCCCTGGCCTCCGGACCTCTTGCAGTAATCATCTAGGGGCTCATGAAGCCCCTTAGAGCCCCACTGGCACCTTAGGATCACAGTGTTACTGATCAGGGATTCGTGAGGCTGCTGTCTGGGATGGATGGGGGGATGGGAGGGGGTGGGTCGGCAAGCCAATATTCCTTCTATCTTTTTTTGCTAACTTGGGATTTTGAGTAGGTTGGGGTGTGGTTGTCATTTCTTGATAACCCAGGCAACTGGCTGTTTTCTCCTTTGGCCTAAACTCATATTGTGCTCATTTAGTGTGTATGTCCATGAAGGATGGTATGGATGGGGTTTGCAGTGTGGACAAGGGGCCTGAGGTAGCCCTGGCTTCTTCACATGGTTCTTTCTGGGGCTTGAGGAGCTGGTGTTGGGATGCCAGAAGCCTTGGTGCTGGTTGGGGATGGGTTCTATGGAGTCTTAGTTACTGATTTCATTTTCAGTGAATCTGGGTTTGTTATATTGGTTTCCCAATTAAAACAGTATGTTGACTTCTTATCCACTGTAAAGTTAATCTCAATTCAGGACATTTAAGAGAATGTCAGTTCTTCCATCAGGCTAAGTTTTTTATATTCCAGAGAACCCCACCAGTGAAGTCTATTCTTCCTGTCCCCTACTTGTGTGGCAAGTGTAGTGAGATTTTCCAAGATCATCCAGCAGAGAAACTATGGGGCCGAGGCTCAAATCCATCATTTTTTTCTGTACCAACCCCCTGTGAAATCTCAAGTGTGCTAGGTATATGCTCCCATGAGAATAGATGAGCAGAACTATGGGTGGTATGAGAAAATGCCTGGTAACCAGGTATGGTGGTGCATGCCTGTAATCCCAGCACTGGGGCCCCAAACAATTTAGGGATTGAAGAAATTCTGTTTTAAAATTTTTAAAGAAGACCGGGTGTAGCTAATTGTGAAAGATGAACATTCTGGTCATTTGGAGAGGACGGTTTGAAGAAGCTGGAAAGGAAGGTTTGGTTCAAGTTAGAAGAGCCTTACCTGGACAAGGCGGCACACTTGTAATCCTAGCTCTTGGGAGGCTGAGGCAGGAAGTTCACTGGGTTCAAGGCCAGCCTGTACATAAACCCTGTGTCAAAAACCAAAATCATTGCCTGGCAAGTACAAGGGCCTGAGTTCAATCCCTGGTTCTGCAAAAACAAAACAAAACAAAAACACCAAAATCAGCGAATAAAAGAGCCTTGAAGGCTCACTAGGAGATTTGGACATTATCCACGTATCAGCTCTAAATTCTGAGTATAAGAACCATCTGAAAGGGCAAGAAAGATAGCTCAGTGGCATAAGCACCTGCATAGCAAGCATAAGTTCCTGAGTTCGATTATCCCCGCCCCCCCCAAAAAAAGAAAAAAACACCTAAAGATTTGAAGATCAGTACACAGTACATAAGAAAGGCTAAGACATAAATTTGGAGCTGTTTGACCTGGTGGGATGTAGTAGTGTTGCCACCTAGGCCTCTAAAAAGTAAGTTGAATAGCTTCAGAATTGCAGAAAAGTTGTGAATGTTCCCCATCCCTGGTTAGGATAGAACATAGAAATTATGGTTATGCCATATTATTTGTGGCGCTGGGCATGCTAGGCAAGCATCTACCACTGAGCTATGCTGTAGCCCATGATACTTTTTTAATTTTCTTTAATGTCCATTTTAGTTCCAAGATTCCCCATCACAGTTATATGTCTCTTTAGGCTCCCATTGACTGTGAGAGTTTCTTTGACTTTGTTTTTTGATGATTCCTTGACGATGTTGACAGAGATGTATTTTGTAACTTTTCCCTCATCAGAGATTGATCCAGAGTGTTACATGAATAGATTTGTGAGTTTTGGAAAGAAAGGTACATCACTATTCTCATCCTGTCATATTGAGGGTACTTAATACCAACCTAACTTATATACGGATGCCCCATTTTAAAATTAGTTTATTGGATTTTCACGTGAAATCTAGTTTCCTGAGATGATGAGATCTGACTGTGGGAGTTAATTCTGATGTGGCAACTAGCTAAGTGGTCTTTAGGTGGGCTTGGATTCTCCAGGTCACATGGTCCCACAGTCCTGCTTCCTTCAATAGCCCTATGTGACCAATCAGCTGTCATTTACCTTCAGCCAAGCAGGGCAGACTTGCCAAGGTTCTGGTGTAGAGTGCAGTTTCCTAGGACAATCACAAAGTGGAGAAGGGGTGGGTTAAACTTTGGAGTCTTAGGAGGAAAAGGGTTGCTGAGAATGATTAGCTTCCTATCCATACAGAAGTCCTCTGTGAAGCAGAGTGATTAAGATACAGATTACCCAAGGTGGGAAATGGATGAGGATAAACTGTGCAGCCAAACTACATGATTTTCCTCTCTCAGTTCCCTCATTTTTTTAGAGGGGAGATAAATACTACAAAGGATCGAATGATATAGTAGTTAAGAATTTAGAATGATGATAGGCATATAGTTAAGAACTTACTATATATTAGCTATTTAAGAGGAAACTTAATTTGTCTGGAAGAGCAGAGGCAGTCAAATCTAAGAATTTTGGGACTCTAAAGTGGGTGTGGAGGTACATGCCTGTAGTCCCAGCAGCCTGTGAGCCTAAGGCAGGAAGATCCCAAATTCTAGTCCACCCTGGCCAGTTTATGGTGGTGACTTAGCAAGAACATGTCTCAAATGGAAAATAAAAAGGGCTGGATGATGGATAGAAGGCCCTGGGTTCACCCACTTACCTCAAACAAAACAACAAAAATGCTCTCTTTTCCCAGGATGGAGGAAGCAGAGCAGCTAAATTCTCAGGATGACAGGGCAGATAGCTCAATTGCTTAACTCTGCCTTCTGTTCTCACTTCAATTCTACCTGGATGATAAATACCATTTATATAGCGTCAGCTGTGTGCCCAACACTCTCAGTGGGTCTGCAATTCTTAATCTTCTTAAACATTCTCCAGAATAGGAACCATTGACATGCCTATGCAAGAAAAGTTATGGATATTATGGCTTGCTCCCAAACAGTTGAATTCTCGGAGCGAGGTTTCAAATTCAATCTGTCTTCAGATCCTGGCTCCTAACTACGACCCAGAGGTTCGGCACAACCCGACGCTGAGGTCTAAACTTAGACTTTGCCCTCTAAGCTTGCGTGTGGAAGAACGCACCGCCTGGCAGACAAGGATGCCGCTCTGCGCACTCCGCAAGAGAGGAATTATCCACAGCGCTGGTTTTGTTGGGCTCAACTCTGAGTCCAGGCCAGTCCAGTGACTTGCTGGGTGGCCTTGGGCCTCTGGAGATTCCGTTTCTCGGGATGTCAAGGGGGTCCCGGGAGCAGGTGGCAATCCGTGCAGCGGCGGCGGACGCACCCGCTTGTTCCTCAGCAAACAGAACCTTGGCGACCGCGGCTCCTGGCGGCGGCCGGCGCGGCCGGAGCGACGGACCCGGCGGACCGAGAGGCGGGGCGGACGGGGCTGGGCGGGGCGGGAGGCGGAGGCGCCGCGTAGGCCCCGGAGGCCCGGCGGGCCGGGCTGGGAGCTCGCGCCCCATGCGCCACCGCCTCCCCCCACGATGTTCCCCTCCCGGAGGTAAGCGGCGCAGCTGCCCTGGGAGGACGGCAGGTGAGCGGCGGCGGCCGGCGCGGACCGTGTCCTCCCGGTGCCGCCCTTCTCCGGGCCGCCCTGCGGCCGTGGCGACCGCGTCTCTGCGGTCTCAGTCTATGGCTCTCCCTGTGGGTCACAGCCGCTGTCTGTGGGTCGCTGCCTGCCTCTGTCTCTCTGTGTCTCTGTCTCTGTCTCTGTTTGTCCCTGTCTCTCTGTCTCTCTGTCTCTCTCATTGTTTCCCTGTGAGAATTTTTCTGTGTCTTTTGTGGTTGTATGTTTGGTTTTCTCCACTGGCTTGCCCTTCGTCCTGCGGATCTCTGATTTCATTGGCCTCTTGGAATGGATATCTGTCTTTGTGCCTTTCTCAGATTTCTGGAGGCTTTTATTCCGTTTTTTGGTGTGTGTCTCCCTCATCACATCCACCTCGCCTCAAACCCTACCCTGGCCTTCATGAGTCCCAGTGACTTGCTGCCAGTCCAGAAGAACACCCCAGGCAGTTGGGTGTGCTCTGTCTGGTTGGCCATGCTTGACTGTACTACACACTTTTCACATATCCATTAGTTCATTTCCTGTGCAGCTGTGTTTGCATGGGGCCTGCCCTGTGTACAGTTAGTTAGGTGTGAGCTTGGCCCAACTTTAGCTAACGATATTTCCCGTTAAAGCAGAATGGGCAAAGCAATTTGACTGCCTAGATTTAGAGGGACACTCATACTTAGGCTTGAGATATACACCCAAACTCTTATTCCCTAGTACACATGATAGTTGAGCTTTACAAAGTGAATGACATCTTATTCCCTATATATTTCCTAAATTTGTTAGATGCTATAAGATTTTGGACTGTATTAGGCACACCTCTTGACACTTTGGGGTTTCTTCAGACTTGATGTTGAAATGAGAAGTCAGAAATAGAAGTCATAATCTACCAAGTCAGCCATGGGTAAAGATCCTATTTAATAGCCAGATGACCAGATAACTTGCTCTTCCTGACTTCAGCCTCACATTTTTGAAATGAAGATCTTAATATCTGTAGGGCTATGTGAAAATTAAAGGAAATTATGTATGTAAAACCCTTGGCAGTGTGCCTGGCACAGAGGAGTAATAGTCATCTTCCAGTTACTCTATACAGAAGAACCAAATATTTCAACATTTTAACACAAATGTTTGAGAGAAGAAAGATTTGCGAATTTAGGAGCATTTCTGTTACCTGTTCCTAATACATAACTGTTCCCATAAACCTTTACTGATATCTATTCTGTGCTTGTGACATAGGAATACAAAGATACATGCAACAAATGCAGGCTAGTGTAGTAATTAAGACTGGTTGCAGAGCTGCCTTCTTGGATTTGAATCCACATCTTAGTAGCCTTGTGCAGTGATTGCTGAAAGAGTCAAAGCCTCACCTTGATTTCCCCTCAAAGCCAGGCTGGTCTGACCCTGGGAACAGCTGGGACGCAATTCTGGAGCTGGCTACCAAGTGGCACCAGGGCAGCTGTTCTATGGTCCACTGTCTAGAAGAATGGGCCTCTGGGCTCACCTCAGTTGCTTTTGGGTTTGGGCTTTTAAGAGCATGAGTTGAAAATGCTTATTGGGATTTGAGCCTCATCTCCAAGGTCAATCTGGATTTTAAAAAATAGCACGGGGAAGTACATGGAAGGCCCAAGCCATATCATATTCCTGGATAACAGTCAGTGCCTCTTCCCCCGAATGGGGAAGCTTGCCCCATGTCCATTTTCATTGTCTCCATCAAGCACCCAGAAAGAGCCCAGAGGGAGAGAGAGACTCTGTAGAGGTTCCAGTCTCCCCAGGTCACATGTAGGACTAGGCTCTGCTCCTCCCCAGCGGAAACAACCACCTCAGGACCGTGGGGGGTAAGTCAGAACTGCTGCGAGGGTGTCCCACAGGACCAACTCTCAGCTGTGTGTGGGATCGGAACCTGGCTTCAGGGCTGCTGGCTTCCAGGTTGGCAGTTGTGTCTCTAGAGAAAGGTAGGCAGTGGTCTGGCTCTAGTGTGTGACTTAAAGCATGCCTGGACTGCTTAACCCTCCCTTAACTCACTTAGTAAGCCCTTTGCTGTCTGGCCTGTGCTGAGACCACAGACAGGAATCTGACATGGTATAACATGTAAGATCATGGGATATCACCAGTGTTTTAAAGAGGGAAATACCAGACAAAGGAAGGAACCTCATAAAGAGATAGTAATGGGCAGTGCTGACCATGACATTTTGGTTCAGCAGGGGACTTGCAGAGAGATGTAATAAAGCAGAGTCATGTCAGGCAGAAGGAACAGCCTGTGTGAGGAAGAGATGGAGTGGGAAGGAATGATGTGAGTGCAAAGGCCCTGAGTTATTCAGAGTAAGACCGAATGGTAGGGAGCAACTAAGATTTGACTGAACCACAGAGGGCTGTATGATCAGGCTAAGGAGTTGGATTTTATAAACAGGCTGAGATTAAAGGGGTCTGAACCAGGGAAGAACAAGATAAGTGAGGAAGATCACAAAAGAACTTTGGAGGTAGAGTCTGCCAGACTTGGTAACTCATTCCTGACTCTTAAAGGTTGTAAACTCAGTTACTTTGTAGATTACTGCGGGTGGGGTGATTATAGAGGACCTTCCCTCTTAGATTTCTCAGTTCCTGTCCTTGCATCCTCTGGAAGTTCCAGAGGTGGGACAAAGAAATCGGGTGAATTCTATCTGTTTCTTGTACTTGCTAACCTAAAGACAGTCTCCCACAGTCACTCCATTGCCTAAGATACTCACCTGTTTATCGAGTTTCTGAAATGAGCCTGGGTACTTGTCCTTCTTTCCCTCATCTGTCTCATCTCATAGGCTACCTCTGGAACTGAAGGTTTGAAATTCATCTTATGAACTGCCACTGTGCATTTTTGTATTTCACTGCTTTGAGGGAAAGTCTGATCTTCCCAGAATAATTATTGGTTATTTGATCTCGCACTCATGCCAGCACACATCCCTTTCTGGCCATCCCAGGAAGCAGGACAAAGTCAAGATTTCTGTCAGGGTGAATCTGCAGGAGAGTGGGTTTGAAAGTCAGTGGCTTGTGTTTCTCCAAGGTGGGGCTCCTGACATTGGCTCAGGACATTGTGGCACTGCTCTGGGGAGGGGCAAGTGTAAGAGACAGGGAGCCTTGTCCCTTCCCTCACATAGCTCATGGTCAGATTAGGATTCACTTACAGAAAGTAAGAGAATATGAAGGAACTCCAGCAGCCTGCAAGTAGGGAGTACTCAGAGTGTGCCATAGGTGGGGTGGCATGTACTGGGCTTAGAGAAGTAAGCGGGACTCTGATTATGGCAGTAGCATGAGCAAAAACATTAAAATTGCTTTTGTACTAATTTCCAGGTGCTTGGGGTATACCAATCATGAATGCCCTATGCATGGGGATGTCAGAAATGGGATCACTCAAGAGGGCTTTAGCTTGGCCCTGTCCTCTGACCCCAGCCTTACTCTTGTCCTAGGTCCAGGTGGCTCCTCGGTGGCCTCCCCCGGAAATGTTCCGTCTTCCACCTCTTCGTTGCCTGTCTCTTACTGGGCTTCTTCTCCCTACTCTGGCTGCAACTCAGCTGCTCTGGTGATATGGCGAGGGCAGCCAGGGGACTAGGGCAGGAGACCCCAGGTCCATTCCAGGCCTGCCCCCCGGAGTTGCCTCCTGAGCACTGGGAAGAAGATGCATCCTGGGGTCCCCATCGCCTGGCAGTGTTGGTGCCATTCCGTGAACGCTTTGAGGAGCTCCTGGTCTTCGTGCCCCACATGCATCGCTTTCTGAGCAGGAAGAAGATCCAGCACCACATCTACATCCTCAACCAGGTGGATCATTTCCGGTAGGGACCACCCATACCTCTGCTTTTGACTAGGCACCTCTTTCCTTGCTCCAGCTACTTGGGACCTGTTCCCAATGCTGAGTGCACTCACCAGGGATAGGGACTTAGGGTGTATGTGACAGAGCCCTCTCTCTAGGTGTGGTGGGAATCTTTGGGGAGGACCCAAATCAATTTCCATTTTAGAGACATTACTCTGGCTGCTATATGTGGAGTAAACCAGGACAAGAGAAGCAGGGATACTGTCTAGGTGGTCACTGAAGTCATCAGAGATTAATGCTGGCTCAACCAGGGTGGTACAAGGGGGTAAGAATTAGTAGAGGAAGTGTGAACAGGAACTTAGTGATTGCTTAGTGGGATTCAGAAAAGGGAGGGTCCTGCAGTTTCCTGCAGCAGTGTTATCCTACAATCCTTGCCCTTATCTCAAACTGCTCCTCTCAGTTACCACCATTCAAGCATTTCACTCTAAAGTCTACTTCCTTTCTGTCCAATTTGCTCCTGCTAGAAGATAAACTCCAAAGGATTCCTATGCCCCACCCAGTTCATAAGTCCATGGATCCTCCCCTCTCTTCACTGCCAACTGTCCTCCTCCCTACTTTTTCTTTCCCAACCTCAAGTGCATGGCCCATCCTTAAAAAGCACTGTGTCAGACCCATCCTTAACCTCCTGTCCGCTAAACGGCAGTATCTGCAGTCACACCATTCATCTCTGATAATGAGCCCTGACCCAAGAAAAAGGTTCCCAATCCTGCTGGGCCTCTGTTCCTCCATTCTATCCCTGGAAGTCTTCTATACCACCTCTTGGCATTCCTGCCTTATCCTTTGTCTCACCTGATGACTTTGCTTCTCATATAAGAAAACAAAGCCAGGGCTGGCCAAATAGCTCAGC